CCCCAAAACCCCAAAACCCCAAAACCCCAAAACCCCACTATGAATATAAAAAGCAAAAATAATAAATTAATTATTTAGGACCACTGATTAAATATGTTTAATAGATTTTTGGTAAAGACACTCTACAAAAGCTCTGCTCTCAAAGGGACCACTCTAGGCCTCGGAAGAGTTGCAGTTGCTCCTGCTAACAGCCTCTTCAATTTCAACAAGATGGGCTTCTTTGATTACAGTGACAACGCCATTTTCTCATCTGATGAAGAAGATGCTGCCGAAAGAACTCTCAAGAAAGCAAATCAGGCTCAAGGCCAGAGCGATTTTTTTGACGCAGAAGCTCCCAGAACAGATGTGCATGAAGGAGCATTCGACCCAGACGATATTCCACTCTACATCTATAAAATGAGAGAAGAAATCAGCCGTCTCAGAAGAGGTGAGAGAGACGTGCCAGCTTACTTCCCCAACTTCAGGAGGTTCGTGGCCATGCACCACCAGAACAAAGAAAGAATCGCTGCTGAGTTCCCCAGAAGCTCAGTCGTGTTCTACGAGTACTGCGCCCAGAGAAGAGTCCGCAGAGAAGCTGGCTTTTTGGAGACCCTCGAAAACGAAATAGCCGAGCACAGTCTGCAGAACATGCCAATTCCAGGAATCAAGAACTTCGTCCGGTCGGCTGCTTCGCTAGGCAGAGCAAGACCTGCCGTCCTTGACAAGCTAATGGAAGTTCTGGAAAGCAGAAACGCATACAACGATATCAAGGCGAACTTGATCATGCTCGAAGACTTACTCTACCTGAGATAGTAAGCCCCAATTCTAATGTTTAGCGCCATCCCGGAAGAATACATGCTCAACTCGTACAAGAAGTTCTACGAGAAATTGGTTGGCGAAGGGTTGTTCGATCCGAGGGAGAGAGACATGCGCAGAGGGTTTAGCTCACAGATCACAAACGGGAACATGTTTGGTTTGATTAGCACCACCGCTAAATATCTTTGTGAGAATAAAGAGACTATCTCCTTCACAGAAGAAGAAGTCAAAGATTTCCTTGAAAGACATTCTGTAAAAGATGAAGAAGGAAATGTAACTTATAAGCCAAACGAAACAACAAACTCTGTTAAAGACTATATTTTATTGACTCTGTGTCAAGAGCATGTAAAATCAATGAGAAACGGTCCTCTTCTGAAATTTTTTGAAGTGTGTCAGCCAGAAATTTTCGATAACACCCCATACATGAAGGACGCACTTCTGACAAGACAAAATGAAGCTTCTAAAAGAACTGATAATAGGCAGTCATTCCTCAAATTAAGACAACACAAAAATTTAGCTTCTGTGCTTGGTAAATTTGTAAACCTTATATTTAGATGAGGCAGGATATTCCTACCACACATTCCAAAAAGTTGGAGACTTTTTCGCTCCTCTTTTCTTACTCGAACAAGAAAATGCCATTGTTGAGTATCAATCTTTAATGGACTGAGTAAAATTAGGGAAAAGATCCGGACCAGCCCATGGAAGAGCTTACATGAGGGGAGAGATTTTCAAGGGCTTAGGATATAATTATCAGGTTGTCTCATTCCGTGATTTCATCAAGTACGAAAATGATCGTGCAGGATTAATTGAATTGGTCCAATCGAAGCTAACTAAGGCTGAATAAGGACCACATTTAATGAAAGATTGAGCAGTTTCAATTCAATTTAATGATTCAAAAAGGGGTTTTGGGGTTTTGGGGTTTTGGGGTTTTGGGGTTTTGGGG